TGCTATCATAATACAATGACTGGATGGCCCTCAGCAACTTGCCATCAATCCCGTATGTACGAAGGCATGTTCACGGACTGTTGCGTGGGATCCGGTCATACGCTTTCTCTAGGTCCACAAAACACTTGTACAACTGCTGGGAGTACTCCCACGATTTCTCAACAATCTGGCGAGGGCAAATATGTGGTCAGAGGTGCTTCGACCGGGCCGGAATCCACACTAATGTTCTTGAATGTTGACATCAACTATTTCACGGCACCTCTTTTCTAACACCTTTGCGTACACTTTACGTTACTGAGCATATTTTCTTTTCGAATAATTATTATACCAAGTTTAAATATTTTTCAGCCATCCGAGGACCGATCCTATGTACCTAACGTGTTAATACCGACAGATAACAATGCAAGAAGTGGTTATCGTCCTTGTTCTGCCACAATTTCGCGACACATGGTCGTTTATGTCGCAAATAAACAAAAAGTTTATTCGCCTGAGCAATATATAAATTATCAATAAAACGCAGTATAGTCATGAAATGGTATAAAAATAAATTTTTCTTTCCTAGAAGGTCGCAACAACGCAACTTTAATAATTTCTCCGGTTCTGGTCTCTTAACAATCTGAATGAGAACAGAACGAGAATTATTCCTACCTAACCAAATGAACAGAACACTGAACTACAAGTGCACAAAACAATTGAATGTACAATCAGTGATGATGATTGATGGTGATGATCGATCACAAGGCTTAAGCAACAAGAAACAAACAGTTCACTGGATAAGGTATTTGAAGACCTTTATGTTGACCTTGACGTCTGTGTGACAGGTACTGAACTTTACTGAAGGTTTACTTGCTCCTTTTAAGAAGACCTTGATACCGAAAAGAACTGCTTGAAAGGAAATAAAAAGTATGCACAGAGAAACTGACAAGATTACAAACAGAAAATTCGTTGACAGATATAAAAAAGCTGTTTCTAAGGCACAATCGGTTAGTTCACATGAGAGCGAACACTTTCTAGATAGATGATCGTCTGCATAGTTATTCACAGCATCTTCTATTAGCTTTGTTAAGCATAATTAGAAGAGCAAGTGGCCGGTAAATGCTTACATCCACGAATACAAAATGCAAGAATACAGCTCAAGAACACTTTTAGCTCACTATTCAACAATGATATGCAGCACAGTTTTGGCTTTGCTAAGACCTTCCGCACTGACGTACGCTGGTAGTAAATTATGAGAGATTCCCTCATGTCAACCTATTACCATGTTATTCGCTTTCTCTGAACAACCTGCATGCCATAATAAGAGAGTACCTGAATACTGACTGAACGAATATGATCATGTATAAAAGCAGCAGAGTGAAGTTACTTAAAGAACTGCTCATATAACTATTCTCTACACTCACTTTAGAGTCACCCTTTCTTTACACCATGAGATCATTGCCTATGTTCCGATAGGAAAACGAGGTTTCTTTCTTTTCTGAAACTAATCTATACGCTCAAGGCATGTACCATTGCAAAAGTGTAAACGTTCATTTTAGAAACGAGTTCACCAGCTCGTTGTAGATGATTAATTATATAAAAGTGAGTGCAATGTAATTCATGTTTCATCATGAAGTTACCATCAGGTGAATATTTCTGCAGAAAGCAATTTGCTTTGATGCCTTGTGCAGCAACAATGTCCAAAATGAAAAAAGCACCTGTAATGCAGAGAACTTGGAAAGCACGTATTTGTGATGCAATAATGCCTGTGCATTTGAAATCATTCAGTACCAACTGTGGTACCAAACCGTGTTCCAAAAGTTTCAGGAAGAGGAGAGTTCGAACATAGACTAACTTCGACTTTGTTCGAAAATCGTCTAAATTCTACAGTAATAACATTGTATTGTATTCTACAAATCGAATACACCTTTTGAAACAATCATGGTAAAATCAAAAATGTTTTGTTGTCACACCAATTTCGTGACTGCGATGACAGTCTAAAGTCGGCTCTACAGGTAACATTAAACTAGTCATTTTTCGCACCTGCTGTCATTGCGAAATTAATCTTTATTAGTAAACGTCCGTCTAGACATTCTTCTAGCATCAGCTGGTGAACTGGTTGGGTTTGGAAG